TTTTTTCCCCTCAGAAATTCTGTGTTATGTATTTAAATGTTTCTGGTTATCAAATGAAGGCATACAAAATTCATTTAATTTATCTTTTAATTATTGAAAATTAAGAAAACTTTATTTTTTGGCAAACAAAGGGGATTTACTATTAAAATTAAAACATGGAAGAAATGTTTTGTGTGATTATTCCTTAAATAATGGTTGTTTCATTTTAGTAGTAGTAGGCTATGTACATTCTACTGAAAAATAGTAATAGGCACAATGTCTTCAAATTAAACCAGACTTTTATTTTGACGGGTTGCCGTGAATACCTTTACAGTTCTGTGTATGAGATATGACGCTAGTTTTACTCAAATCAAACGCTAAAATGCTCATGAAGTGACTCTCAGAGCAGTTCTGGAGATGTTGTTCATGTGTTTACGTCTTCATTTAGTGAGACGCTTCAGTATGTGTGTAGTAAACAAAACCGACTTTTGCGGCTTAATATTTACAGATACTAGTCCATGATTTGAGTTAAGTGTAATGACCTACTTCTGATTAATTAATTCAAAATTTGACAAATTCCGTGACATCCCGCATTAAACTGTGAATTCCGTTTTTATGACTGGATTCCGTCTGTGTTTTCCGCATCGCGCAAATCATAGGGCCCTATATATTCCAGGTTCAGTAGAAGCTCTATCAGCATGTTTTAATTAGCACTGACCATCATTTTGACACGTCCATCAGTTTATAAACAATATGTGACCCTGGAGCACAAAATCAGTCATAAGAGTACATTTTTCAAAATTGAGATTTATACATCAATGGAAAGCTTATTTATTCAGCTGATGTATGGTTTGTTAGGATAGGACAATATTTGGCTGAGATTAGTGGTCGACCGATATATCGCCAAGCCCGATATATCGGCCGATATTTGGCATTTTTCAAATGCGTTCGAGGCGAGACTTTTATTTTGACGGCAATAATTCATTCATAACCAAAACAGCGCTGTGTTTGCTTGGAGATGCCAAGCGGCTCAGCTGTGACTTTGTTTGGAATTATTTTCATTAACGAAATACAGCAAAAACAGAGTTCCTAAAATGTAAGTCACCTAATATTAACTGCTTGTTTATTGAACTGTGATATAAAATCAGTAACACATTTGCAAACACTATTTATACTTATTAAAAAGCTGTCACTCATCTCAGTTCATGACGATCTCACAAACTTGTTATAATCAATGAAACTCTACACTGCACAATTAGTCTTATTTACATTGTGTCTACACTTTGTTATAATGAGAGGATAACTCAGCACTGAACAAATACTACAGTGTTAATTAATTAAATTAATACAGCTTTATCCATATAACATCGTCTGTTATTGCATCTGTTAAAGTAAGATGTTAATATTTTCGACAAAAATCACGATTCATCCTAGATAATTTAGACTTACAAATGAGGACAATAGAAGCAATCAAAAGCAACAAAAGAGCAATAATATGCATGTGCTATATTAGTATATTATTATAGTGTTATATTTCAATTTCACAAAGAAATGTGCAGCATTTTGTCTAAGCAATAATAAAAGGACACATTTAATTTATAATTTGTCTTAAATCTCATTTTGTTAAAAAAAAACGTGAATCGAATCGAATCGTGAATCGAATCGAATCGTGAAATCAAAATCGTGAATCGAATCGTGAGTTGAGTGAATCGTTACATCCCTACCAGCGACTTAAGACTGCTTTTGTGCTCCAGGCTCACATATTTGTTGATAGTAATGCATTTACAGTAGAAATGCAATGGTTGTGAGTGCATTTGTTTACATTTTGTGGTAATCAACATGCTTGTTAATATTGGAAACAATATTATTAATGTGCATTTATCTTTGTTAGTTCCTTTTAAAACGGTTGTACTGTAAAATGTTTTTTCTGCTTTAGTTTCTCATGCACATCGACTCCAGCAGCCTCAGCAGTCCGATGGACATGGAGACAGACGGGCCGATCATTGAAGATGTCATGATGCTGAAGAAGACCGTAGAAGAAGAAGCCACTCAGGTAGAAGTGCTTTGGAAATTAGTCTCTGATTCTCACCGAGGCTGCATTTATTTGATCAAAAGTACAGTAAAAATTGTGAAATATTATTATGATTTAAAACAGCTGTTTTCTATGTGAATATCTGTTAAACTGTAATTTATATCTGTGATCAAAGCTGAATTTTCAGCATCATTACTCCAGTCTTCAGTGTCACATGATCAATTCATCGGTGCATTATTCTGAAGAAGAAATGTTCCCATAATCTTTCTTGCCTCTGAAATTACTTTTCCGGTGACATAAACGAGGCAGAATGCGTTGTGAAAATATCACCCAATATTCAGGTCTCATAAAGTGTTTATTCACTCTTTAAACACCCTAAAAGGTCTTAAATCAGAGCAGAAAGTCTCAAAATCATAAAGTTGTGGCATTAAGTGTTGCATACGCTGCAAAAAAATGAATATCTATAATATTTTTGTCTTGTTTTCCAGTGCAAATATCTAAACATTTTTAAATCGATGCATTTATTTCAGATGCAAAATTAAGATTTTCTTGTTTTCTGAGAAATTGATCAAAATTAGGTGAGTGTATGTTTAAAATATGTGTCAATGGAGAATGAAAACTTATTTTTCTTTGAATTAAGTTGATATTTCTGAGCACACTGACAGATATTTGTTCATGATTTCATCATTAATTCACTTCATTTTGATCAATTTCTCGAAGACTTCGTTGTGTTTTTGTCATTTGTATTATTTTTTTGTTGTTTTTAAATATCTGCATAGTTTTTATTCATTTTTCTTTTCAGTTTTAATTATTATAGTACATAAAGTTAAAATGAAAATGAGAAATGTTGCTTTGGAAACAAGCTAAAATAGAATAAGTTACAGATATTCACATAGAAAACAGCTATTATAAATAGTAAAAATATTTCACAATATTACTGCTTTTGCTGTATTTTGGATCAAATAAATGCATGCTTGGTGAGCAGAAGAGAATTATTTAAAAAAAACATTAAATCTTACTGTTCAAAAACCTTTGACTGGTAGTCTATCTATCTATCTATCTATCTATATATATATAAATATAATTTTTTTTTTTTTTCCCCAGTTAACATTCATTTTATTTCAAGTAACGAAAATTTTTTTTTCTTTTCTTTTGCTTTTTCTTTTTTTACGGTTTTAGTTTAAAAAAGGAAAATGAACAATGAAACACAAAAATGAATCATCATTTACTCCCCCCTCAAGCTGTTCCAAATCTGAGTTTCTTTCCTCTGTTGATCACAAAAGAAGAGATTTTGAAGAACGTGAGTAACCAAACTGTTGCCAATAGACATTGACTTCTATAGTAAAAAAAATAAAATAAAAACACTATAGAAGTCATCAACTGTTTGATTCCCAACATTCTTTGAAATATCATCTTTTGTGTTCAAGAGTAAATGTGACCGTGGAGCACAAAAGCAGTCTTAAGTCGCTGGGGTATATTTGTAGAAATAGCCAACAATACATTGTATGGGTCAAAATTATCGATTTTTCTTTTATGTCAAAAATCATTAGGATATTAAGTAAAGATCATGTTCCATGAAGATATTTTGTAAATTTCCTACCGTAAATATATCAGAACTTCATTTTTGATTAGTAATATGCATTGCTAAGAACTTTATTTGGACAACTTTAAAGATGATTTTCTCAATATTTCGATTTTTTTGCACCCTCAGATTCCAGATTTTCAAATAGTTGTATCTCAGCCAAATATTGTCCTATCCTAACAAACCATACATCAATGGAAAGCTTATTGATGTATAAATCTCTGACCCTTATGACTCTTTTTGTGCTCCAGGGTCACAAATGATGACTCTTTTCATTTTTGGGTGAGCTGTCCCTTTATAATAACCCTGCTGCAAATCTCATGCGGTTTAATTTCGCCTCTTTGCTCAGATCCACAGAGACCAGCGTAGAGAGCGTCCCCTGATACGACGCAAGTCCGAGCTGCCTCAGGATATGTCCACCGTGAAGGCCCTGGAGACGCACCGGCGAGCCGAGGACATGATCGACGCCCAAGACGGCCACTAGAGGGCCACAGACGCCCAAAAAACCCAGTCCAGTGTGACCCACAAACACACACACAAACCCGTTCTGGCCTCCAGAAGCAACCGCGCCGGAGCCCATCTCACATCCAGACCCCAGTCTAGTCCCTTCTCATCTGCTTCAAGCTGAACCGCAGGTGGTTTTTGGCCAGAGCGCTTGCATTCGGCGCGAGCGAACGATTCTCAGGTTGCCGCGGTCAGATTTCGGTCTCCTCGGTGGTTCGCGTCTTTTGTGTGACGCTTGGCTTCGCCTAGATGTGCATTTCGCATTTTAAGAACGAAACGAAACCCTTCCGTTCTTGTCCAAACACTTTGGCAATAAGTTCGTCCAGGGAGGTTTTGATTGTTCAAACAATGGTGAATGGCCTTATGGTGGTTAATCAGTGTTTAGATGAGCATGAAAGCTTTTGAACAGGCTATAGATACAGAGCGCATTTAGGCCACGCCCACACAATCCAACGCTCTCCATTGACTTTCTATTGCGGGAAGCTGCCTCCGTGTCATTTCTGACTTCTAACAAAAAACAGAGCAAAGCTGCTGTGTGACGAGGTGTACAGCAAACAAGCTAAAAAACCCAGAACTACGTTTTTTATAAGCTGTCGACACAAAAAAAACCTAAAAATAGTTGTAGATGTCGGAGTATTTCACGTTGGGCCGTTCAGTTGGATCATTTCTCAAACAAAGGGAAGATTAGGAAAAGGGGCACTAGACCAATAAAATTTCGTTTCTTAATACATCTCCTCCTCTCAGATTCACATAGGGTGGTGAAATAATCCTTTGACATGGTTAAAAATAATGAATGGGCTTGTCGCCGATTATGTTTGCCTCCAGTGGGCGCCGTTCTCAGTAGAGATGCACCGAAATGAAAATTCTTGGCCGAAGCCGAAACCGATCAAAATTAAACACTGGGCCGAATACCGAACACGGAGTTTTTTTCCCCATGTATTTTGCCAATTTTTTTATTTCACCATTGCATAACTTAAAAAGCCAAAATGTGCTTTTTACTGTTTTGTCTTGCTTTTCAAAGAAAAAAAATCTATTGCAAAACAACAATTTAAAAATATTTAACACTGAACATTTTTTACATTCTAGCAGACACTATACCACAAAGCACAATTTAACTTAAAATTAATAAGTTAGTAAAATAATAATTTTTGGCCATCAGACCCCCTTCTTGAATCAGGCATGTATTTATTTATTTTTTT